GACAGTGGCTGTTGACTGCATTCTGCTTCCTGGTTTTGATCTTGGTTGGGTGTCTGAGTAAACAACAACCTTCAGAGAAGCTAGCCAGAGGGTGTACCAGCGCCCTAGTCCTGTGCAACATTTTCTAAAATAGCTCCAAAATGAAAAATCAAAACACAAGAGTAAATAGAAAGCAGATAAATAATTGCTGGTGTGGAAGGGCTGAAGGGAGGGATGGAAGAGTAGAACAGAGAACGGGACGGGGGGGGGGGGGGGGGGGACCCCGGGGGGGTTTTTCGGTGTGGGCGAAGTTGCAGTGTCAGCCTGTGGACCAGCACCAGAGCAGGTGGCAGACCAGGCCGCATGGCAACCCTTTGGGAACCCTGAGAGCTGAGAGTGGCCTGGAGGGACCTGGTCGGGGAGAGGAAAAGGGGAAGACCAGAGGCCTCATGGGCTAGGAAGAAAGAATGGACCAACAAGGACAGTGAGGAAGCCTGGGAGGTTGGGAGCCATTGTGTGTCCTCCTCCTTGAAGATACTCAGGATCATGGCATCTCTATGGAACTGGTGTCAGCATCTCCAAGAAGGAATTCTAACTGTCATGGACAGTCTTAGAAATCTAGAGCCTGCAACTCTGTGTGTGTGTGTGTGTGTGTGTGAGAGAGAGAGAGAGAGAGAGAGAGAGAGAGAGAGAGAGACAGAGACAGAGACAGAGACAGAGACGGAGACAGAGTATGTGGTGTGTGAGAGAAAGTGTGTGTGTGTGGTGTGTATGTGTGTGCGTGTATGAAAGAGAGGCAGGGAGAGAGAGAGGTGCATGTTGGGTATGCATGTCTGTGAATGTCTGTGTGTAACTGCACGCATCCATACTCATGAAGAGCAGGGTGTCAGCTCTCTTCCTCAATGGCACTTTATTCCCTTGAGAAATGGTCTTTCACTGAACATAAAGCTCATTAAATTTTTACTAGACTGATTGGTCAGTGAACTCAAGCCAACTTCCTGTCTCCACCCCTCACCCCCGCCCCCCAGCACTGGGTTTACAGAAGCACCAAGCCACATCTGGCTTTTCACATAGGTTCTGGGGGTCCAGACTCACATTTTAAGTGCACTTAGCTTACTAAGCTCCTGTTCACTCTTCCACGCTTTTGCTTTCTGATGATTATGCAGCCAGAGCAGAGAGGGTCCCTGCCCTCCTATGAGCTCCTGTAAACACACACACACACACACACACACACACACACACACACATTCATCATCTCCTTGTTCTGGAAAGGACTCCAGGCTCTCCAGGCCTCCACTGCATATCTGCACAGTGACCTTGGGTGCTAGGGATGACGTTGGTGAGAACAGGCAAGCACAGTAGACTCCATCCATGGGAAATACATGGATGAGGCCCATCTATAGTAACAGTGTGGGGGGGGGGTTGCAGACTCTGAGGAAAGGGGAGTGACAAATGTCGAGTGCAAGCTTCCTTACATGGTGACTGAATATTCTGGAACTAGACGAAGATTCTAGCTGCCTGATATTGTGATTATTCTAAACGCCTAAAGGGATAAAGTTGAAGTAAGATGGTGGGCTTTGTCTGTCTGTCATGGAGACAGAGCCTCACTACATAGTCCAGTCTGGCCTTGAACTTATGAGGATGAGTATGCCACTGTACCTAACCCTGATTATTGTAGCAGATATGTTTTACTGCATTTTTAAAGGTTGTCTTATTCCTTAGCACCCATGTTTTTAAAAAGAGAGCTTAGCTACTTGGTGAATTCCAAGCTAAGAGACATGCAAAAAAAAAAAAAATGAACAATGACTGAAGAATCACAGCCAAGGTTCTTCCCTCTTTCCCTCACATATATGTCCATATCCACATGTCCACACACATAGAAGAGCTTGCTTTCAAACACATATCTACCTTCCCAACACTTGGGAGACAGAAGAAGGAAGATGGTGAGTTCCAGGTTAGCCATGGCTCCAGAGGAAGATCCTACCCCCCAAACCCCACAAAAATTGACGGGGGATATAGCTCAAGTGGAGCCTTTGCCTGGTATATGTGAGTTGGTACTGCGTTCAGTTCTTGGTACCACAACAGAAAAGGTTCTTTAGAAGATGATATCCTGGGAGTGACAACAGCTAAGTCCCTCTACTCCACTGAGTCTCTGGTTCCTCAACTGTAGGATATGGGTGACCCTGAACTCCAGATGGCCTTGCAGACTTCAATTGGCAGTGTCCAGAAATGGCCAGGCAGAGGATGGTGTGTCCCCCAGGGCAGTGGAATGTCACAGCATGACACAAGGGACTCCCAAGGCATTGGGTCTGTAGATGTGGGAACCCTAGTGCCTCTCTAGAGCCCTAGGGCTCAGCAAGCAGCCACACTCCCTGAGGCCACAAACATGCCCCATATGGTGTTTGTGGAAGTGGCCTGTCCCTGGTGCTCTAACTACTGCTAACACATCGGGCCACGGCAGATCATATTTTCAGCTCTGGGAGCCTGGTCTGAGCAGTTGGGCACTCTAAATTTAATTCTGCAGGTAATTTGAACGATGCTATCTAATTTCAAATGTCCCCACTCTTATGAGTGCAAAAGCAGCATAATTTTTAATTAGTGGGTAAACAGTAAATACTGAACGGCAGTAAAGTGGACAGCACTGTTAATTAAAAATCCATGGTTGATAAAAATCAATTTGGTCCTTGCATTCAGGTCCCTGCAAAGAGTTGTATGACCCAGCCATGGCCCCATCTGCCGGCAGTGGTTCATCTAGTTAAGACTTTCCTGGGGGTGGGGGGAGAAAGCGGGGAGAAGAAAGAAAAGAAAATCGAGGTCTGTCCCAAGGCTGTGAGGGGGCAACATCATGAGACTATTTCTAACTATTAAGTTGGGTTGGCTGTTGATTTTTTTAAAAAAACAACCTTTACATTGAGGCCATGGGAAGGCAGCACGGCTGGGCCCTGGGATTTTTTTTTTTTTTTTTTTTTTAAGAAGGTCTCCATCGCGCTGGGCTCTGTGTGTGTGTTCGTGTTCTGAAGACAAAGCGGCCTGACTGTATCTCACAGTCTCCTAACATAATTAAATCCTAATTTCTCACAGAAAAACAACATAAACGAAAATACACTTAGGGGAAAATAACATCTGAGGCTTCGTGACAGAGTGTGGCGTCTCTTCCTGGTGCCTTCAGGGAGGGGTGCATGGAACAAAACGATGGCTTCCTACCCAACAGAGAGAACATCTCTTCAAGAGCCAGAGACTCATGGAGACTACAACACTCTAATTTTCAGAGCTCGTGTGCTGTTTCACTGTGAAATGGAAGCTTCATTTCCCAGCCAGGCAAATAAGGCTGACCCCTCCTGATTCTTCTCGCTTCCATCTGTTCACCAAATCAACACTTTGCGACAGGTTTCATTGACACTGGTGATGTTCAAATTAACCTGCAGAATTGAATACAGAGAACCCACAGCTTTTGGACCACAACGGTGGCTCAGAGGAACCAGAATGTGTTCAGGTTGACAGCTTAGGAGAGTCTGTTTCCATTGGGGAGCGAGGGCTCAGTGTGGACACCCATGCGCCCACTGTAGTGACCTGGCTCGGGTTCCTTTGTCTTATTGACATTGTGCCAGATTAATTCTGAAAAACCCACCTTCCATCTTGAAAGTCTTCCATCAGCCTTGCTTGCCCTGTGACAGCGTGGCCATGTTAAGACTCCTTTCCCTGGTTAGCTGTTGAATTTTGTTCCTCCTACTTGTCTGGCCATGGTCAACAGGTCCATTGACCGGTGGGACCAAGGGCCACACTCAGATCTTCACTCAGTCATTCTTCATGTGTGTCTTATACTCTGTTCTATGCTTTGTCTATACTCCAAATTGGTTCCCAGTATTCTCAGTGATGACCCAAACAAGCCATAGTCAATCTGTTGGGCTGGAATCCCAGCATCCTATGCTCTACTAGCTCTTGCTCTTCTTCAAAAGTGCCACAAACCCACGGAGTTGAGTTGTCAAGCCACAACCAGCTCCTAGGGTGGCTGCAGAGATTGCCACCTGGGTCCCTTACTCGACTGATGTCAAAATCATCACCAGCTACACCACTCATCTACTCACAGGGCCCCCAGGGACCCTGAAGGTGACTCAGAATCCCAGGAACATACGTTTTCCTGAGAGATAGCTGGACAAAGAGAGTTTGAGGCCTAAGTATGAACCAGATAGAGATCTGAGAGGCAAAATGGGATCCCCCTGGCTTCCCCTCACGCCCAGCTGGGAACCTGTGCACCAGCAGTGGGGAAGGGATGGGAATATACCGTGGGAGAGTTTCTCCACTCTGTCCATAGCCTTCCCTGGAGGCCCTGGCTGGCCAGAGCTCTCTGAGCCCCTCCTGACCCACTTCAGCCTCAGGCTCAGTGGGAAGGGCTGGGTTGGCAAGCCCGATGCAGTGGCCAGCAGCCGGGGTCAGGAGCCACTATGAGGACAGTCTCTGCTGTAAAGCTTGGAAGTTGCTCACACTAGCTAGCATCCTGCCATCTGGGCTGTGTCAGCTGTCCTTCTAAGTAGGATGATAGCTCTAAGGGGATTACAATTCCTCAGCAGCTGAAGGTTTTTGCTACTCAATTCTGAGCAGCAGCTGGGAGCTGAAGGGAGCTGTCCCACGCCCTTGCCAGCCTATCCTGGGCTAAGGGAAGAAAGCCGGGCAGGATGTGGTCTATGTGGCTGTTCTCCTGCTCAGGCTCTAGGTACCCGCCATGCATTCAGTGAACACTGGCTGAGTGCTGTGTGCTAGACTCTGCTATGTGTCCCATGTACACAGGAGGGAACAGTGGCAAGCCTGCTGTATGCAGTCAACAAGCATCTGGGTGCTCTGGAACCTGAGGTGAGCCTGTGTAGCCTGCCCGAGGCCCTGCAATGTGAAGAACAGGTGGGTCAGGCAGTATGCATGAAGCCTGTGGATTTCTGGCTGGGTCCCTCTCTCCTCTGCAGCTAGCTAGCTAGCATCATAGAAACAGCTGAAATTTCAGGAGGTGACTCTCTACACTGGGAGCCCCAATGCCAACATGCCCATCACTATGGTCCTGCCCCCCACACCTCAGTGGGCCCTGGATCTCCACTGGATAGGTAAGACTCCCCTAAGCTCCCAACCATGCATTGCTGGGCTGGGAGATGTCTCCCTCTGAGTCCCAGCATCGACCTCAATGAAGTTAGGACAATGCTCCCAAGTCGCCAGAGGCTGCCTGCCAAACTCAGGGCTTGCTTTCTCCCATCTGGAGGTGGCATCTGGAGCAGGGAACCATCAGGCCTCACATCCAACCAACACGGTTAAGCTGAACGATACACATGTGGAGACCCGTCGCAGACACTCAGGCTTCCCTCTTGCAAGCTAGTGTGCAGGGTACGCAGCAGGACATTTGCTGAGCAGGCAAACAGGGGAGTGTGTAATGTAGATTTGGCATGGCACTAAACTGAGCTGCAAAGCGAAAACCCACAGAGTGACAACGAATGTCCCGGAAGGGTCCTGGATATGGTGACATTCTGAGATCTACAGGAAGAGTCAGGCAGAAGGCACAAAAGGTACAAAGAGGGCAGGAACTGGCTGGCTGGCCAGAGACCATCTGTGTCCCACCCAGTTCTCCTAACCTTGCAGACACGCCCATCTCACTGCAGGGGCTGATCTGCACCCCTCATCTGTGGCAGGCATCAGGTCACCCTTCCTCCCAGGGTGGGAGCTGAGGGAGAGTTAAGACTTCCCTGACTTATCCCCTCAGGTCTCCTCCTCAGCTCATTCCATTCTGGGGTCAAGGACTGAACTTTCCATGTACGTCCTCCATGTGCCTCCTGAGCTCATGGAGAAATCTGCCTGCCAAACATCTGCTAGCGCTTTGGGTGCTGGGAAGGGGCAGGTCACAAGCTCTCAAAATTGCCTCTAGCACTTTTCCCAGGCTCCGGGGCTGCAGCCCTACCTCATTCAGTCCAACTGGGACCCAGGCAGCTCCTGGCAGGGCCACTGAGTGCTCACAGGGGGATGCTGAGCTGTGCAGCTCCTACCTCAAGCAACAACACTCTGGAGCAGTTCTAAGAAATTTCTAGAACTTTCTTCCTAGAAAGTTCCCACTGTACTTGTTGCTTTCTGAGAGGAGTGTAGAAGAAGGGCCAGCAGTCTGGGGCAGTGAGATGACACTGTGCATGCCCCAGGGAAAGTCATTTGTGCTGCAGGACTGTCTGAGGCCCCCTGGTGTGCATGCTGCCTTCCCCACTCCAGCCATGGCCTGGCCTGTTAGCCACTTACTGTTTTTCTTCAGACCAACTTACTCTTGTTTACTTAAACACATTCATGCATTTTTACAGCCTTATTGGGGTATAATTGGCATACAGTGAACAGCACACATTTATAGTGTCATATAATTATTTTTTAAAGACGCCTAACACAGCTCTGTGCACAGAACAGCCACTCGCCATAAATAAGAAGTAACTGTGGGGAGACTCAGTGAAAGAAAACCACATAATTGGGTTGTCTCTAGATTCATGGCCCATCTCAGGCTCAGCGTCTGTTCTCTCGGGGAGCAAAGGGAGCTGAGGCTTAAGACTCATTACCTCTCAGCCAAGGCTTTCTCCTTCATGTTAGCAGAGAGCCTGGAGGAAAAAAGGGAGCCCTTTCTGCTCAGATGACAGCAACCTAAGTACAAAATACACATTAAGGTGGTAATCCAGGTGGGCACCAGGAAACGAGGAGGCACCCCCACCACCCCCCCACAATGAGCCCTCCACCAGGGCGTTCTTCTACCCTTGCCCATGACTGTGGGGCCAGGAGTCACTCCTTACCCTTCTGGACATGCCCTGGACCTGTTTACGTTGCTAACAGACTACATCCTGGAGGGCCAGGTCAGCTGACTCTGTGTGCGTGTGCGTGTGCGTGTGCGTGTGCGTGCGTGTGTGTGTGTGTGCGCGCGCGCGCACAGAGGTAGATGTGGGTGTCTTCCTCAGTTCCTCAATTGTTCTCCACCTTATTTTTTTTTAGGTAGAGTCTCTCACAGGGACCTAAGAATCTTCATCAGTCCTTAAAGATGTTCCTGTCTCTACCTCCCCAGAGATAGGATTACAGGCACATACCACAATTGCTTGTTACTGTTTGAATACTGGAGATCAAACTCAGAGGGTATCATGCTTGTGTAGACGGTGTAGGAGCAGGTGAGGAATTCTGGTCCCAGAAGTATCTCACAGCTGCTGGGTGAAGGGTTTTGAACAGAGAAGTGAAAACCTACCTGGGCGTCTCCTTCCCTCTGGGCTGGGCTCCCATGTCTCCAGCCTCCTTCACACGTACCCACCAACCTATCTTCCCAGTCTGGCTTGGGAGCAGTCATCTTCCCCCATGGCAATGCAACAGAACCCCTATCAGCCTTCAACCACAAAGTATGTGTTGTCCAACCCCTTTCCGGAAACAGCTTGCTATTTTGTGAATAAACCAGGGAAAGAAAGCAGGTCACTGAAGGGGAGACACTTGAGAGATGTCCGTCTGCTCTACTTCTTCTACCCCCGTTCATTCAGCAGGAAGTCCAGGACAGAACAATAGGGCCCTAGAACTCAGTGGGGGAAGAGGCCAGGGTTCCTTGGAAGCTAAGGAATACATTGAGAGGTAGATGGTGACAACAATCCCAGTTAGGACCATGGGGTTGACCAAAAGAGAACAGGAGAGCTTTTCTGAAGATCAAAAGATTGAGAATGCCCCCCAGCTGGCCTAAGTGAAGGAGGCTGGAGACATGGGAGCCCAGCCCAGAGGGAAGGAGACACCCAGGTAGGTTTTCACTTCTCCTCTTCAAAACCCTTCTCTCAGCAGCTGTGAGGTACTTCTGGGACCAGAATTCCTCACCTGCTCCTACACCGTCTACTCCAACCATCTCTTCCAAGCCTACCAGTTCTACTACAGGGATCCTCCTGCCAGGAGCCTGACTACGCACTGCTTATCAAGGGCAAAATCTGTCTGTGTTGGGCCTCCTGGGTCACCTCCAGGGGTGCCACAGAGGCCAACTACCATCTTTGTAAGATGGACATAGTCTTCTACAGTCACCATGCCCTGCTTGACATTGCCAGGTGCCTCAACCAGACTCAGGCTGGCCAGCACTGTACAGGATGGCTGCCCCTAGACCGGGCCTGGCTGCTGGGGACATTGTATGAGCCAGCTCCCAGGTACCAAGTGATTGCATGGCAGCACTGGGCTTCAACACACATGAACTCAGTCTTCTGTGCCTTCAGGGTCACATGCAACAGCAGCATGGGGTGGTGTCCCATCTAGCCAAGGATTTGTTCCTTGGGGATATCCACACTGACTGGGCAGAGGCAGCACTACCGCCCCACTGGCTCCCAGTGACCCCTGCAAAGTGTTCTGGTAAGTGTGGGCCCCACTGGGCATGTTCTGGTGTCCAGCCCAGCAGGTCCTTTTGAATCTGGTCCTGCTAAGGGTCTCTGCCCTGCCCTTCTCACTGCCTTCAGCTCTGGCCAGCTAACCTCAGGCTATTAGCACATACTCTATTACTTCTGCTTGTGCCATCTTCTCTCAGCTTTTGCAAGGCTAGACGGCATTCTGTAGAGAATGACATAGCTCACCCTCCCCAGCCAAGTCATTCTCAGCATGCATTCTCTAGATTTGGTCTTCATGATTCTTGCAAGACCCCATACCTGTCCCTGAAAGGCACAATGGCTCCAGCTGGTTTCCCCGTCCTTGGTTCTTGTTTACCTGGTCTCTCTATTCCCCACTCTACACATTTTCCAACACCCAACAGACAAGGCTGTTAGGAAGCTTGCCTGTTACCTCCTGAGTTGGGCACCAAGTACTCCATCAGGGAAGGTTTTTGGCATCACCCAACCTGGGGTCTGGCATCTAGCTAAAATCAGCATAATGTTGGCACATGCAAAGGGAACAGTCTGCTAGGGCTGCAGTACCTCCCTTAATGACCTCCTTCAGGAGCCCCAGGGGTCCCTGGTGACCAGGGAACAAACCACCGATGCACATGTGCACACATGCTGATATTATAATGTACTGCATCAAACTCCATGAACACTATGGAGCTGGGATAATGAACCAAGGTGGCGCTGGGATGTGAGTCCTAACTCTGCCTACTTAAAGCTTAGTGGAAACAAAGGACTCTGGGTTAGGGCCTGAGCCTCTGTGAACATGTGGGTCCAGGGTGAGGCCTGCGCTCCTCATCTCTAACATGTGCCCTGGTGGTCTATGAGCTGTTTCCCCAGAGTAAGGAGGCCCTAGCTACAGTGAACTGCCCCTCCATGAGACTTCAAAGTGACCCTCATGGAAGCCACACAACCTTAACTGTAAAGGAAGAAGGACACTACTGTCCCTACACTATGAAAGGGTGGGGTTGGTAGACTTTGGTGCTGAGGCCAGGTCTGATAGCTGGTCATGCATGAGCAAACCTCCTCAGAAAAATGTTGAGAAAAAAATTGAAGGCACAAAAGGCATTGGCTTCAAGTGGAAGCCAACCCCACTAGCGCAGCCTGCAAATGTGAAGCTGTGCAAGACATGGCTGAGAATAGGAACTCTTTCTTCACCCTCAAGTCCAAGCAGTGGTAAGTGCAAACAATGTTCCCAGTGTCTAGGACACTGACAGTGGGACAGGGGTGACACACAGGAACAATGATGCTGGCACTTGCTGCTTATTGTAAATGGAGATGAAAAAGTGGGTTAGGACTCTGGATTAGGAACTTCTGACCAGTGAACCCCATATATATGTCCTGAAAATCAAGCTGAGCATAGTAGCTGGCATAGGTAACTCTAGCACTTTGGAGGCAGAGGCAGGGGAATTATTTTGAGTTTAAGGCCAGTCTCAAAAACCAACAGAACAACAAGGAACAAAGGCATATTGAGAGATGAAGGAATAAGTTCTACCATCTTTATCAAGTGCTATTTGAACCTTGGGCCATCTTCCTGTCACACAGCATATATTGAGTGCCTACTGTGTACTGTATACTCAAGCAAAGCAGAATGGGGCAGCTTCTGATCTCTGGTAGCAACTGCTTCCCAAAATCCCAAGGGGTGGACACTGGTGATAAAAGATAGACCACACCCATCTGCCTACCTTACACTTTCAACTGCCCCCAAAACCCAGGATCTGGGAGGCAGAGAAGGAACATGCCAAGGTTCTCCTAAGAAGGGTCTTCTTTCTTTCCTCTTTCCTTCTTCCTCTCTCTCTCTCTCTCTCTCTCTCTCTCTCTCTCTCTCCCTTCCTTCCTTCCTTCCTTTCTTCCTTTTTTTCTTTTTCTTTCTTTTTTTTTTTTTTTTGATTTTCAAGACACAGTATCTCTGTGTAGCCTTGGCTGTCCTGGAACTCACTCTTGTAGACCAGGCTGGCCTTGAACTCACAGAGATCCACCTGCCTCTGCCTCCTGAGTTCTGGGACTAAAGTGTGCACCACCATGCCTCTCAGGGTTCTTTTTAAATGACCTCAAAATCAATCCCTTTGATGACTGTCAATGATGCTCAGGACATAACCCTGAGGAAGGCATACATGGTGAGTGGATTACAGCCCCCACCTCCTTGTTCCAAGGGACACCATGAGAGCTCACAGCATCCTCTCTTCTGGGCAGAACTCAGGGGCCACTATTCCTTCCCTTCCTGCCACCGGGCCAGCTCTGGTGGCCTACGCAGGCTGGAAAAGTGATTGAGAAACAAGACACATAGAAACATGTCATTGCAGACCAGTGCCAGATGCACAGACATTAAATTAAAGGTCTGCTCGGCAACTCCCCTCTTGGGGAGAAGGAGGAAGGTTGTTTGAGAGAAGGAAATGCTGCAGTCAAATCCCCGAATAGCATCTTGTTCCTTACCTTCTGCTCTCGGGGCCTGAGCCTTGCCCATGACCCAAACCAGATGGTAAACACGAACATTTTTAGAAGTTAATTTAAAACCAATTTGATCCCCAAATTTATTGCCTGGATATAGAATATTAATCAATCAGTGCATTCTCTACCACAGTCATCTGGGCAGGCATCACCTCTGGGGCTTAATTAGAAACTAGTACGTGCCATAGAAGAAATGGCTTGGTGAAATAGGCTCACGTCAGCATGAAGTTGGCAAGTGTGAGTCTAGGGGTTTTATCTATTAACACAGGGGCCTCTGGTCTCTCTTGGGGACACTCTGGAGGTGTTTGATGGGACAATGGGGACAGGAGCTTTGTGTCATCTCCTTGAACTGTCCTTGAGTAAGAAATGCCTTTTCTGTCCCCTCAACCATCTTTAAAGCTCTGCTATGCCCCAAACCACTTGCCCCAAATGAAAAGCCAGCTCCTGCAATGTCCCTGTGCACAGGGGATCACACACACATGAGACCACGAGAGTGTCTCTGTGTGTGTGTGGCAGGAAAGAGCCACTCTGGGACTATTTCAATGCTGTGCATTTGGTCCTGTCAATACACATTAGTGTGAGCATAGTTCAGAATGTGAGTTAAAAGGCCTAAATTAGAGGGGACTCTTATCAGCCGGCCTCCCAATTACTGACACTCTAGCTAACTGCCATTGCTTCCTCCATCACAAACAAGTCTGCCGCCATTTACCGGTGTTTCAAAGTGCCTTCCAGTACTCCAGCTCAGAATCCCCAAACAGCAAGGCATCATAGTGCTTGCCTGTTATCTGAGCTCTTTGGAAGCTGGAACAAAATAGATTGCCTGGAGTTTGAACCCAGCCTTGGCTATACAGCACGACTCTCTCTCTCAAAAATAATAATGATCACAAAAATAATATCCAGAAATAAAACATGATATAGGGTCATGTGTTATAGAAATAGAAGTTCAGCTTCCTCACAGGAATAAATATTAATAGTAAGAGCTTTGAAAGTGTGACAATCCAAACAAAAGAAAAAAATGCCCCTCTCCCACTGCCTTTTCTGCTTGGGCCTTGGTCCCCAAGTTTCCCTCAGGAATAGCGGGAACAGGGTTGTCTGCTGGCTCTCAGTCAGTGCTGAGCCGTGGCCATTCCAAGGCCATCACGTTTGCTGAGAAGAAGGCTCTGTGTGGTGGCAGCAACTCCCTTTAAGGAAAGGAAGAGAAGGGTTAGGGAAGGGAAGAGGGAAGGAGGAGGGGATGGGAGTCTGTGTCTAGCTCCTTTCTGACCTCTACTAGATGTTTTCACTATGAAATGTAGACCAATTAGATTCCATGTATGTTTCCTATTGTTGGGTTTTACTCACCTTAGCAAAGTCAAACCTGAGATGATTTCAAGTAATCCAAAGCCAGAAGAAACCAGTTCACACCCTGGGGCAGCAGAGGGGTCCTGCAAGCCCCGAGACTCCAGGGCAGCTGGTCTTGTCTGTTATAATTAGTGCTGGAGGCTGGGCGGGATGGTGCGTGCTCATGATCCCAGCACTTCAGAGTTGTAGAAGGAGAGCCAGGAGCACAAGCCTCCAATGCAGAATCCCCCCATTGGATGGGCCCCCTGTCTACCCATCACTCCTCTCCCCATACTACTCCTGGCTCGAGGACTGGCCCCCTTTGAGTGGCTGTGACATCAGTCTTTGACTTCCAGGTGGCCCCTTGGGCACTGTGTAGCCCTGCAGATGTCCCCGAAACTCTGTGCTATCGTACCACTGTGGTGAAAGAACAGCCCTTCTCCACCGCTGTCTTGGATGGATAGATGGCCCTGCCACCTCTAGTTCAGCCAGTATCCCACAGGGCTCAACAGTACTGCAATGCCAGGGGTCCCAGACCACGGGCCTGGATGTGGCCACAAAACGTGTTGTGTTTCTAAAAGCATACTGCTAGTTTAAATTCTGTCGCTGTGGTCGGTGTGAGTCTACTCGCCCTTCCTTGCCTGGGGTATGGAGACTGAGAGGACCTGCTCCGACGGTGCCCAAGGGTGCTTCCTGCCGTTTGGCCAGGTTCTGGGTTGTGGTGTAGAGATCATTAATTTGAATTTAGCAATACAAACTCAGCCAGGGCATGAATTAAAGATGCCGCTTGGGCTTTCAGTACTCTCAGCTCTCTGGCAGAGGGCTTGTCTCTCTGGGGGCAGTCGGCTTTCTTGAGTTCTGCCTGTTGGCATCTTTGGGCATCTGCTTCTGTGAGTCAGACCTCAAGCTGGCAACAGCGCACACGGATAAATCCGGTCCTCCAGGGCCACAGAGCACGAAAAGAAGGCTTGATCTGAGCTGAGACCTTGGCCTTGCCCCCCACACAAGCTGCGGCCTCTAAGTCTCCCGTGCCCACGCATAGCGCCCGCAAGCTTAGGGCTAGCCAAGCGGGGCGAGGTCCATGGAGGAAAGAGCATTTCTGCCTTTGGAAACTAATTAATACTAATGATAGCTGCGGCTCGATGTGCTCTGTAATTAGCCCTGAATATTCTTCCAGAATTCACTGCTCTCAACAGAAGGGGATGGGGAGGCCTGGGCCACCAGGCTGCAGAGAAGCATCTGGGGGCAGGACCCAGAAAGCCTGGCCTCTCCAAGTCCCCACACTGTGACGCTAATATGTTGAGTTCTTGTCTGCTCAGGGGGGCTGTTTTCACGATGGGGACCCTGCTCATAGGCCTAGGGCCTCATCTGCACACTGAGAGATTAACTGGTGTCCTGATGGGCTCAAGGGTTTTCAGGACTGTGAGCAACTTGTTCCCAGCTCCTTCCTCCTCCTGCCACCGCGGCTCTTATCACAGATCTTGAACAATCCTATATGAGGCTAATGATGCATACAGAGGAAAGCCCTTGGCCTCCCTGAGACTGTGTGGGGTTCAATCAGTCCAAGGAGATTGCTCTAACTTATTATCCATTCTTCTCAAAAAAAAAAAAAAGCACCAAGTTAATATTCTCTGTGGGTCTCAGACAGCTACGAGTGTTCCTGGCATGTTTACCAAAGTACAAGAAATAATTAGATTATTTACAGTCTTGGACTACATGGCAGTGGGGATGACAGTAGGTGTCGAGAACACAGCCATGGCTGAGCAAGCCTTATATCTGAGGCTGGGAGCAGCCATGCCAATGTTCATAATCAAATTTAAATCTTTTAATAAAGTTAAACAGCCTGAAAAATGTTCTTATTGGTTATTAAAATCAACCAGCGGGATTATAGTTCCAAAGACAAGACACATGTGAGGAGAATAATGCAGAGAGGTAAAACCCAGCCTTATGCACCCTCCAGAGGCCCTGCCCCCCACCCCGGCCCTCCATTTCACCCACTGTGCTCAGAACACCCCAGCTCTGGTTTACTGGGGTCTGCAACACCCTGGGCACACCTGCCTTTCTGGTTCTTGATCATACTGAACGAGTCTGTCTGGGGACCTTTGCCACATGTCCTCCCCCAGACCAGGGAAGACACAATGCTTGCCTTGTCATTCAAATCTCAGACTGAGCATCACACCCCCAGGAAGGCCCACCACTGGCACTGTCCCCAAAGCATCAGTCTTCTCTCTTCCACCCGCCATTGTGGCATGGTGACCAATGTTTGAAAGACCTTCGCTTTGTTCATATTTATCTCCTGGCTCCCCTAGAGAATGTAAGCTCCCAGGGAAGTGACAGGGCCATCTCTACATCTTCCCCATGGGCTCAGAGTACCTGGTGGAAGGGCCTCAGGGCCTCAGCATATGGATGACTCTCAAGGGCACAGAGCTTGGTGAAAGCCACAGGCCACGTGTGTCATCCCTGGGTGGGGGAAGACTGAATCAGAGATTCAAAGATGAGTTGATCCTCTGTATCTTCTACATGGAGACATGGAGGCACGGGGGGTGGGGAGGACGGGGGCTGGCATGAGGTCACACAGTCAACGAAGCCTTGGATCCAAATGGGAGATCAGGGTTTTCTGAAGGGAGTATTGCAGGGGCGGGGGTGGCTCATTGCTGCAACAAGGAAGGTCATTTGGAACTGCTCAGCAAGTCGTGGGCCACCTTGGTTAGGTATGCTGAGTCAGAGAGGTGCTTTGGCTGGGCTGAGCTAGGTCCCTTTCAGTGAGGAGAGGAGGGTTAGGCAGAGGCCAGGGCCTCAGAACCCCCAGACCCGTCCACCCTTCTAGAAACCCAAGAGTGCTCTCCTTGGCAGAAGGGCAGAGCCTACTCTTGGCTGTGAGCAAAACAAAACAAAATTAATGCTCTCACTGTATGTGCAGTCACGTTGAAAGGGGGCAAAGCCCGTGCGGTTGATAATTTCACAGTGCAAGTCCCAGGAGAGCAAAGGAGCTTTTTTTTTTCTTTTTAATAAAAAGTTTAAATTGTACACAGCTCTCGGAGGCCCATTAACTACCAGGCACTGCTTATCAGAAGTTATTTCTTTGCTTTTCTCTAAGCGAATGTGTTTAATCTCCCAGCGGTACCACCGAGCTGAGAAGCAGCCTGTGCTGGTGACGTGGGCCGCTCTCTCAGTGTGTCCTCTCCTGGGAGCTAGGGTGACTCAGGCGTTGGCTGGAGCCTCTGACGCAGGTGGGGTTGCATTAGGGCCCTGGCAGGGGCCGGTGCACAGCCATTAGTGTCACTGAAAGGGGAGGGGGAGTTGTTCCCACTTACAGAGGTGGGATTTGAGCAGCAACTGTCCACCTCCCTATCGGCTCAGAGCTGGTCACCCACTTGCAGAGACCAGAAATCATCTGGCCACGCTGGAGAGCTCTCTTAATGTCCAGGCAGGCATCTCCTCCCTGCTAGCTACTCTGTGGTCATCGCTACTTCCCCAGAGTCAGTGCGCACACAGCCCACTCCTGTCTCCCCTCGCCTCTGCCCAGTGGGACACCCCCGGCCCCCATCTTCATCACCCATTTATCAGCAACATCCTGTTTATTCGCCACCCTCTTTAGACCCAGCTTCAGAACAGCAGGTCTCCTGTCAGGGTCCCTGCTGCGCCTCCAGTGTGCAGTGTCACCTGGCCCAGTGGGAGTGCAGTAAACACTGGCTGAGTGGATAAATGTTTGGTGGTGGTGATGGTGGTGGTGGTGGTGGTGGGTGTTCAGAATGCAGCCATTAAGTGTCAACTACGCTCCCCCCCCCCCCCCCTGCCTTCAAACCACACAGGAAACTG